CTACTTTGGATTTTATATGGTAGTTGGCAACCAACTTTAAGGTGCATTACCACCACCAACTGGACTGGAATGTGGACCTCAGTTCAGCTTTCAATCACCCACATGGGTATATGCTCCTAAAAAACAATGAGTCGGGACTTGCAGCGCGTCAAGCATCAAAAATAGAACCAAGTTCTATTTTAACGCCTGGCTACGCAGACGCTTGTTGATGCGCTAGAGCAGTTTGGGTGAAATTATTGATTAACATGTACGTGTACATTTATTTTGCAACGCTCGTGCACGAAACACGGGCGGTGTGGTCAGCATGTAAGAAGCCCAAAAGCTGACTCAGCTGCAGCACTGGTACACACAGTACAGTAGCTGTGCAGCGCACCACAAAGTCTCGCTCTGTGCTTGCTGCATGAGGTCAAATATAGTCTCATCTTTGGAATTCTGGGACCATTGGAATCAATGACACTCAATCAGAGTTGGTGTGAGAACCAATGATAGATTCCCTAATCTGAAAACCTCAGATTCTGACTCTTGACTGTGCCAATACCTCACTCCAAGGAAATTGACCATTTATTACCAAAGGATGAAGAACTTTTACCATTGCAGAAGAAACCTGGTTTAGGACTTGTGGGGCTTGCTAATGTGATTTCATAAGGTCAACAAAGATGTTTTACATTAAATAAATCCAGTTAACTCCGACTGTCTGTGATAGGATATTTTATTCATACAATTAATATATAATTAAAGTGCATATAATAATTATATATCTATGTAGATATAATGTAATGTCTATAATGTGCTTACAGATGTGTAATGCATGCTTTGTAAATTGTTACCAAATTGCAGAAAATTGATGTGATGAGGTTGCTTTATTAATATTGATGATAATAAACTCAAACAATCTACAGGTGCTATTTTTATTGATAAAGAACAGTGCCTCAAAACCCAATGACGTGAACTACTGTATCATTATTTCTCAACAGTAGGATTCTCAGAGAGCAGAGAATTCTGTTCATATCTTGAAAAGAGAACGGTAACACTTTACTTAAAGCCTGCAGGTATTATGCATTATGGTGCGGTTATAATGCATTGTAAGACTTGTCATAAGACTGCACATAACAACAAGTAATAAGGCATTAAACCTGCAGACTTGAAGTAAAATGTTACCAGAAAGTTTGTCAGCCCACTGTTTGCTGTTCCCAGATGTTATCATATTTCGACTGCAATGGTCTTTGTCATGTTACGGATGTTACTGTGGTGTCTCTTCAATATTCTAGATGTACAGTCTCTCCATTTGTGGCGACATGGATTCATTTGATAAAGCCTTGGGTTGTGTTAATTAGAACAGAAACATTTTGCGGGGTTGCCAGGCAATGGAGTGGTAGTGTTACCTCAGTTCTCTGGCACACGGTGCCCAATCTCTGGTGTGTGCGAGGTTGCAACTCAAATGGCACTCTACTTTTGTACAGAGTCCTATAGGCCCCGGTCAAAGGTAGTTCACTAGTAAGCCAAGGCTAGAGTTCACTGGCCTGATTCAGTCTAGACGAGATAGGTGAGCGCTCTCTCTCTAAAGCAGATCAGCAGCACACACTGTCCACACGTGTGGGTGTGTGTGTGTGTCTGTGTGCCACGGGCATAGGTAGTTTGGTATGTAGGTATTCATGTGTTAAATAATTATTATATTAAATCCATATCGGGGAAGATCCGCGCTACAGAGCGATTGAAATTTACAGGCTGTGATGAGGTGATGTTGAAGGAGTCAGGCGCAGGAGGGTAAATCACAGAATAACAGGCTTTATTCCGCAACCACAGAGTTACGCAGTAACATTTACATTTTAGTCATTTAGCAGACGCTCTTATCCAGAGCGACTTACAGTTAGTGAGTGCATACATTATTTTTTTATTTTTCATACTGGCACCCCGTGGGAATCGAACCCACAACCCTGGCGTTGCAAACGCCATGCTCTACCATCTGAGCTACATCCCTGCCGGCCATTCCCTCCCCTACCCTGGACGACACTGGGCCAATTGTGCGCCGCCCTATGGGTCTCCCGGTCACGGCCAGCTACGACAGAGCCTGGATTCGACAGTGCCTTAGACCACTACGCCACTCGGGAGACAAGTACCTGTATAAGTGTTCCCTCTGCCCCCTTGTCTTTGTGTGTGATTGTTTATTGTGGAGCTCGGTGGAGCTCCTTTTATTTTGTATCTCCAGGATATTTCCCTGTGTGCCTTGTATTTTCAAAACAGGCGCACTGGAAAATACAAGGCACACGGGGAAATATCCTGGAGACAAGGGGGCAGAGGGAACACTTATACAGGTACTGATGAGGGGATATGAACCAGGTGTGTGTAATAAACAAGACAAAACAAATGGAATGATGAGATGAGGAGCGGCAGTGGCTAGAAGGCAGGTGACTACGAATGCCGAAGCCTGCCCGAACAAGGAGAGGAGGCAGCCTTGGAGGAAGTCGTGACACAGGAAATGTTCCCACGTTCGCGGAGACTGCGTTCACGGTGCATATGTCGGCTCAATCGGAAATAACCTTTACATTTCAATCGCCCTATAACGCGGATCTTCCCCGATATGGGTTTAATATAGCCCTGAGAGTGAGGGTAAGGGTGGAAACACAGAAAGACAAGAGGAGAGAGTTAGATGTAAACCGATAAACAGACTGGAAACCCCAATTGTTTGGCTGGTGTCAGCTGGAAAAGTAGTAAGCATGTCGAGTAAGCCTTTTACTGCTCACCTTGCATGCTGGGATCCACCTGAAAGCTCCTTCTGGCCCGACTCTTGATCCAATGATCTCACTCCCAAATCGGGCCACCTTTCCCCCTTGTTCCCTAAGCCTCTGGTTACTGGTTCCCACCGCCTAGTTCCGGATAACTAAAGCCTGCAAGTAGGTGGAAAATGATGGACTCCAAGCCAAAGATGTAGAATATAGTAAAGTGTAGTAGAGTAGCCAAGCTTAGTAGAGTGTTGTAAAGTACAGTATATTCAAATATAGTTGCATTAATACAGCTGCTCTAGTCCCATCTACTAAATATTGATTAAAAGTTAATAATGGTCAATAAATATTAGTCATTTGTAGTAATTTACATACTAATTAATTACTAATCAAATTAGACTAATACTCTATATCGGCGACCTGGGAGCAGTTGGTTAACCAAAACAGGCAATTTAGATTTGATTATTTGTAGAGTGAGATGAGAAGGGAAAGAGAAATGGAAAGAGAGAGGGAAAGAGTGGTGTGAGAAAAACCTGCTTCATTATGAATAGATGCAGCCCCAATCCCATGGAGGAACCTTGTTGAGATAAGTAGGCTTTTAAGGTTAGCCTGACATACATAGATCCTAAACTCTTAAAGCAGCAGCACAGGTATTTGTAACGTACAATAGACTGAACAATGCAAATAACAGGTTTACTTTTAGCCATCACAATGTGGGATATATAAGGGTTAAATATTAGGGGGAAATGAGTTCCACCACCTTATGGTGGAAAGCATACAGTGACAACCAGAAAAACAAACGTTTTCTGGAAGGTTCCACCACAGGCCCACTGACATGACAGAACAGAACACAACTGATAAGTTCACTGCTTCTCCAAGCTAATACATGCTTGTTCATTTTTGCCTTAGAAAGAGACGCCAAATATCTTCTGTACGGTGGCCTGTGTGAGCCAAAATACCTCAAAAGTGTAATTTTTGGACAGCTGGATAGTTGCGGTGCAAAAGTTACTCAACTGTCTGATGCATAAGAGAACACATGGATTTGTGGTCAAAGTTATATGGTCAGTTAAAACAGAGGTGATGGTATGCTACGTCTCACCTTTAAGAGAAGACAAATGTTTTCTCAAACACGCGTCAAAAATATGTGACCTTTGACCCTGGAAAGCTGCAGTGTCTGCTGCATGGCTTTGCTACAATCCAAGTACTCTTTCACTGAAGCAGGGCAATCTGGACAAAAAAAATTATGTTAAATTTCTGTTCCAATGTATTATTATTTGTACATTTTCATTTGTGCGCTCTAATGAACATGACCAAGGAGTTTGCTACTTTTGAAACAGTTTGAGACTGAATTTTAGCACTACAAAATCTGACTAAATCCGTAGATGGGTTAGCTGACAACGTCACGGAAAATGATGCACACGCTTCAATGGGACAGAAGTCAGTTGTTCCGATTCTGGATGGCCAGATAGCTAGCAACAATGACAAGAAACTGCCATGTGGGGAATCGTAAGTTACTCGTTTCAGCTAGTTTCATCTTGTTCTTGATACCATGTCTTGTTTTGAGGTGTTTTGACTGATTTCATGTCAATGTGTATATGGCTAAAATTCACTGGCTATCTAACCAACAACTGTAACAATGTATTTGAGAGAAAACAAGTGCTAATTGTGCAAATGTAATTATGATTTCAATAAACATCGGAGCTTAAATATATTTTACACGTTGTCAACAATCTAAGCCAACCCAGTCTGTTTTGCCCCATAGTTGCACATGCGTCGGTTTTGTTGCCAAACAACCAACCCGTCTGTAGGGAGTTTGATCAATTCCGTTCAACCTGGATTCATCTTAAAACACCTAATAAGTTGGAAAGAATATTCTTAATTTACCATGTTCATTTTGGTGTAAAAGACCCCCCAAAAATAGGTGATACAAAATATAACTCACAAAATATAAGTCCGGTTTATTGTCGAACAACAAACTTCACACATACAATTGAAACAGGCCATCATAAACAAAAAGTCGCTGACAAAACAAAATAAAAAGAGGCTCCTTTTCTTTGGCCTTCCCTCCCATCATACAAACAAAAAAATTAGTTATGGTACAACTAAAGTACATACATAATATTTACTGGAATGCTCCGAGTTCAACGGCGACGTGTGATTTGAGTTGAAGATACCATAACTTGGTCAACTAATTAAAATCTTTCATAAAGAAGCACTGATTTGGTCAGAGGAGATCACTGTTGAGACCAATCTCCTAACATATTGTACAAAAATATAAAATGTAAATAAAAATACAAACAAATATTTTTGTATATTTCATTGAGAGGCTAGAGCCTTTGAGTCTGCATCATTGTGGTGGTTTCCTTGAGATAATTTGCAGGTTGGTTGGTACGTGGATGTTGTTGAATTCCACTTGCTAATTGTATTTTTTTACAGAGTCCTCTAACCCCCCCTGACATGATGGTCAAAGAGAGGAATTCGAAGTGCTTCGGCAGGATGGGACAACTTCTCAATCGTCATCGTCGGTTTTCTGCTTCTTGGTTTCGACATCATCCTAAAAGAAATCGGAAGGGCAAAAATAAGTAGGCTTCAAGGAAAATATTATCCTGCAAAAACCTGTGTGTCAACACTTTACTTAAAGCCTGCATAGGCTTATAATATGCTATGTCTACGTATTAACATTTTAAGTGACTGAATGGCTAGTATTTAGTCAAGATCATCATGATTGTAAGATAATATTAGGGAGTCATACATGAGAATGACAAGTCTTGCAATGCATTATAACTGCATCATAATGTATTAAACTACAAACTGTGCCAACAGCCAATAATCAAACTACCCCATTGAGGAGCCAATGTCTGCTTCCTTACCTCGTCATCCTCATCGCTGTCGTCGGCTGGTCGTTTGGTGCCTCCAACAAGCTCGTCGTCATCCTCATCATCATCCCCTACAAACATGACATTCCCATTTAAGACAGTTCTCAAATTAAGACATATTACATTATCAATGTCATCACATATTTTATATTTTATCACAAAAAGCATAGACCAACCAAATAGAAATTAAACAAAAAATGTTTATTGTACCTTCTATGTCATCATCCTCCTCTTTCACTTCATCATCATCTTCATCATCTATCTCTGGGTCGCCATTTTCCTCATTCTCCTGTTGGGGAAAAAAGCCAACAAAAAGTCAATACACATTTTTTTCGGTACATTAAATTACTTTAGGGTATTTATGATGAAATTATATGGACCAATGTTATGGTAACATACTAATTGCACAGTAATAACTCAATAAAATGCAATTATGTTATGAAGAGTGATCAGATGAATTGCAATTAATTGCAAAGTCCCTCTTTGCCATGAAAATGAACTTAATCCCCAAAAAACATTTCCACTGCATTTCAGCCCTGCCACAAAAGGACCAGCTAACATCATGTCCGTGATTCTCTCGTTAACACAGGTGAGAGTGTTGACAAGGACAAGGCTGGAGATCACTCTGTCATGCTGATTGAGTTAGAATAACAGACTGGAAGCTTTAAAAGGTGCTTGAAATCATTTGTTCTTCCTCTGTTAACCATGGTTACCTGCAAGGAAACACGTGCCGTCATCATTGCTTTGCACAAAAAGTGCTTCACAGGCAAGGATATTGCTGCTAGTAAGATTGCACCTAAATCAACCATTTATCGGATCATCAAGAACTTCAAGGAGAGAGGTTCAATTGTTGTGAAGAAGGCTCCAGGGCGCCCAAGAATGTCCAGCAAGCGCCAGGACCGTCTCCTAAAGTTGATTCAGCTCGGGGCACCACCAGTGCAGAGCTTGCTCAGGAATGGCAGCAGGCAGGTGTGAGTGCAGCTGCATGCACAGTGTGGCAAAGACTTTTGGAGGATGGCTTGGTGTCAAGAAGTGCAGCGAGGAAGCCACTTCTCTCCAGGAAAAACATCAGGGACAGACTGATATTCAGCAAAAGGTACAGGGATTGGACTGCTGAGGACTGGGGTAAAGTCATTTTCTCTGATGAATCCCCTTTCCGATTGTTTGGGGCATCCGGAAAAAATCTTGTTCGGAGAAGACAAGGTGAGTGCTACCATCAGTCTTGTGTCATGCCAACAGTAAAGCATCCTGTGACCATTCATGTGTGGGGTTGCTTCTCAGCCAAGGGAGTGGGCTCACTCACAATTTTGCCTAAGAACACAGCCATGAATAAAGAATGGTACCAACACATCCTCCGAGAGCAATTTCTCCCAACCATCCAAGAAGAGTTTGGTGACGAACAATGCCTTTTCCAGCATGATGGAGCACCTTGCCATAAGGCAAAAGTGATAACTAAGTGGCTCGGGGAACAAAACGTTGAAATGTTGGGTCCATGGCCAGGAAACTCCCCAGACCTTAATCCCATTGAGAACTTGTGGTCAATCCTCAAGAGGCGGGTGGACAAACAAAAACCCACAAATTCTGACAAACTCCAAGCATTGATTATGCAAGAATGGGCTGCCATCAGTCAGGATGTGGCCCAGAAGTTAATTGACAGCATGCCAGGGTGGATTGCAGAGGTCTTGAAAAAGAAGGGTCAACACTGCAAATATTGACTCTTTGCATAAACTTAATGTAATTGTCAATAAAAGGCTTTGACACTTATGGAATGCTTGTAATTATACTTCAGTATACTATAGTAACATCTGACAAAAATATCTAAAAACACTGAAGCAGCAAACTTTGTGAAGACCAATACTTGTGTCATTCTCAAAACTTTTGACCACGACTGTAGTTCTAAATCTAACACAAAGGCATAAGAAGGTTGATGATATGTTCATGTGATTTTGGATGCTACCTTTCCATTAGTGGCTGTTTTGTAATTCTCCTCCTCAAATAGTTTATTCTCCTTCAGGTCCTATGGGAGACAAGGGAATCATATGTTATTACATTGTTATAGCAATATGTGATACAAATTGAAATTGCTTTCATATTACATTTATATTTAACATGCATAGGCTACTATATCCCTTTAATTGACATGGAAGACAAATTGAAATCACCTAAATTGTAGAAAATATATATTTTTTACTTCTATAGGACATTAAGCCATTAACCTATTGTTCCTAATAGGCCTAATTATATTTCTCTGATCATTAATTTCACAATCACTTTGCACCACTATATGTATGTCTATAGGCATACATATTTTGCCTTTCACGCCCCACAGCAAAAAAATAAAAATATATCATTGCATTTCAAATGAGAACCATTGGTTGCTGCAGAGATTTTCACTGTGCCAGTCAACTCTTCCACTCCCGCCTACTTTACAGAGTTGAATGCGTTGTAATCTGACACTTTTATGATGTTTGGGGAATTGTGGGTATTGTAGTTCGACAGGTTTCCATGCACCAAATGCCACTGGTTAGACACTGCAATACCCAGGGTGCATAGCTCAATTTAAATACCAGCGCTGACTCAGGACCACCTCAAGTGAGGTCGGCCAATTTCACTGAGGATTAAAAGGACAGTATAAACCCACATGGTATTTTGGGGACCAAGCAGTTAGCAACACATATTTTCTCACTTCATAATCCCACACAAAAAGTCGCGTGCATTAAGGTCGTCTATTTAGGTCGCCTATCCATAGGAAAGGTGTATTTAAACCAACTTACATTTACTCTTGAAACTTTTAATTTCACATTGATCTATTATAAAATGAGCACTTGATGACACAGATTGTCCATATCGTTTGAGCGCCTGCCTAAATAAGATAAATAGTTTTATTGATTTGTTTATATAATATTTAAGCCCTTACGCCGTTTAGCAGTATTATCTCAGCACCGCCTCATTAATACACTCACATCTAGTAGACAAATATACTTAGGGCAATTTAGCAGCATGCCATATCTGTTGACTAATAAAAGTTTGGGGTATTTCCCAAACTGTGCATAAAATATTTGTTCACCTTCCGACAGTGGCTCAGTAAGCTACTAAATGATAACTGCTTAGTTGATCAGGTCATCTTTGATATGAAGCCCACCCATGACACGAGATAGAAATTCCGCCGAAAGCAGTGACGGTCAAAAGCAGTCATCAGGAAACAGAATCAGTTTGAAGACAGACAACTCGCACTACACCACACCTTCCAACCAAGCTTGAGCCATTAAAGGGAAAGTAGGCTACCACAATTAATCCCCAGGGGTTTTAATGTCAAATCACTTCGAATTAGAAACGAATAAGGAAGAAAAGAGCCTAGGGAAACCTCTACTAAAGTGAATCTCTCTGGCGCCCGGAGGAAACAGTCGACAAAATAATGTTTTGATAAACCAGACAGACCATCAAATCACAGTCTAGCCTACTGCTGTTTGGTGATGTTGAGAGGCTTGGCTGACGATACATTCAAAGTTGTAATGGTTGCTTAAAGGCATTTGTTTTTACATTCCGCAATAAACATCGTTATCCAAGGCTACCTGTCCATTCGAACGCTTAGTAAGCCAGCCATTTGAACAACTGGCGAATTTCAAGTCATGCCATCTCAACCAAGTGTACGTCCAACTGTTAAGTTGAAAGGCAATGCTTTTATTGTAAATCCAAAATAAAGCTTTATAAGCCCGGCATCGACTGAAAGCTGCACAGCCAACATGGACAAATGCATTTTAAATTAATTTGGAATAGCCTACACAACACAGCCTAATGGACAAAATAATTGAGAGTTTTCGAAGTGAGAAAGGACACTAGTGCGTAATTGTCTAATTTGAAGCTCTAACCTCATTGTTTGCGTTTAGAAACAAACCGACAGGCTTGTATAAACAAACAACCAGTGCAGACCGTTACCACTTTATACAATGCGGGTGTATTTCCATGAAGCAGACGCGAGACTCGTTACATTGTATCATTCCACATCAGCTTCAAAACGATAAAAAAAAAATGAGGCTATATTTTCTGCGCTGTTTAACGAATAGCCTACATTGGTTTAATTATAACTATGCACACTCTTAGAATGACAATTAGAATGACAGTGTGAACCAGCGGGCGGGAGGTAGCCTAGTGGTTAAGAGCGTTGGGCCAGGTTACTGGTTCGAATCCCTGAGCCAACTAGGTGAAAAATCTGTTGATGTGCCCTTGTAAATCGCTCTGGATAAGAGCGTCCGCTAAATTATTAAAATGTAACCTAATTTAAAACACTACATCTCCTAAATATAATATTCAATAGGGAAGTTATTTCTTACCTTCGGGGAGATATCCTTAACCGAATGTACTTGTGTGTCTGCCATTGTTTATGATCACTCCAATAAAATAAAGGACAGGGGTAATGAAACGCTGCGAAATAAGGGATTCGGTTCTCGGCTATGTCTCAATCTCTATTATATTGTGCAAGTGCTAACGTTGGAGACCGCGGAGGCACTAATATAGGCTTGTGGGCGGAATAAAGGAGGTGGCAAAGGCAATATGATTGGTCAGCGGTTTCACAGAGGAGTGTGTCTTGCACGTTGGAGTGGAACAATGTATTGTATAATTCAAAACCCAGAGGGCAACCCCCCAATTCCAATCTCTCTGTTGGCTAATAGTGTCCGTTCTCAACGATGCTTTTGGCAGAGAAAAAAAACACAAACCGATGTTTTGACATTAGGCCACACGACACTAGGACAACATATCATGTGCCCAAACGGTGTACCAAGCTAAAGAAGTAGACCCATATTCGGATAAGCTATCCGACCGCCAATAATAAAGTGTCACCTTAAGTGGTGTTCTTTGATTGATTGATGTTAGGCTCGGTAACCAGTCATAATAACGGACTCCACCTGCAATTAATATGTTTGTCGCCATTACGCGAATTGGTCATCCGTATCCTTGACCACACCGTACGTGGATGGCCCGCCCACCTTTTCAAACTAGATAGGCTACATGTTTTATAGTGTTAAAAAGGTTGGAATGAAAAACTCGGTGGTCAACTCAAGTGATCATAGAAAAGCTCCCATTCCAAGCGGACGTTTTAAAAGCCTTTTCTGGCGTGTAGCGTTTGGTGTGCATACTTGCATTTGTTTGATATCATTAGGTCTATGCCTGAAATGTCAAGGTCGGTTAGATCCTAAATAAAAAGTTATTTGGGCGCCATAGGATAAACACACAGTAAATGTGCCCTTATAACTTATGGCTGAATCTTTGTATTTTTCCTTTCCTCTACAAATCATCGGGAAGCTCAACACCGAAAAATGCTGTGCGAGAACATGTGATAGAACAAGTGCGAAAATAATAAGTTGCTCAGAGTATCAGCCGCATATTTATTTTAGAACAAACGGGCAAACGTATTTGCCTTAAGAAGTATTGACCAGGTTATTACAAGCTGGGTATGTTAGTCCAAAGGCCGACAGATGGCGATATTGAGCCGTTTCATCTTACCATCCAAAGGGAATCTATACAGCCAGCTACAGACCCTTTTCCAGTACATGACACACTGACATCATGCACAAATGTGCGCGACTCTTGGCGGCAGTAAGAAAGCCATTACCATTACCAACTATTACAACTGCTAGCCAAAAGCTAGCCAAAGATACATTTTACTGGTTTAAGTGTTTTTTAAGTATAATGCAGTTGATTTGTGATGATGACACAAACATTATATTAAGCAGGACATTCATACAAGCCTTAAAATCCAATTATAATCCAAAAGTAATGCACTCATAAGCAACATGTAAATAGAGGCTTTTTTTGCTGGCGTTCTATAAGAACTCCCCCTTGTTCTGCCACCAACTTTTTAGTGCGGCAATGTTTGCAAACACAGAAAGTTTTTTAATTTTTTTTTTTATATACACTCATCCCCACCGTGCAACCTGATTGGCTGAACGCCATATACAACATCGGGGACTAGCATTTAGCCACCATAGCATGATGGTGGAAAATTGTTTATTTAAGAAAGGACGCATATTTTCCCAGTTTGTTCCGCCTTCTCGCCATTAAATTGAGTTAATGAGGAAATCGACACCTTTGCAGCCTGAATGGAGAATGTTTTATGTACGAACCGGTCCACGGGGATACAAGTGTACAGCCGGCTGCATAGATTCCCTTTGGATAGTAAGATGAAACAACTCAATATCGCCATCTGTCAGCCTTTGGGCTAGGTATGTGTAGGACAAAGCAGCAAAAATGCAGACATTGTGTAGGCACCGTTCTAGACTGTGGCTCAACACAAGTAACCCCAAAGATGTTCTATTATATTGACAAGATAGTCGAGTGACCGCTCTAACAATGGAAATACATGTCCTCAAAGATGGAAGCCAGGCGGGAGGAGGCAGTTTATTTCCATCTTCGTAACATTGCAAACATCTTTGACTAGAACCAAAACATTTGACTACATGCTAAATACAATCAGAAAGAATGTGTCTTTGACCCTGCATTATAATATAACTTATTTTGAATGAAAGCCAGGAATGAGTGAGTCACTCAGCCCAATGCTTCTGTTCCTGCTTCTGTTGCCTAGTTGAGTGTTTATTTAATATCCTCCTGATTCTGTGATCACCAAGCCTCATGCAACCGCAAAATGTCGGATAAAGCAATTTTACAAATCCGGCTGTTTTTAAACTTTGCTGTGGGAGTGACAAAATGTATTACAATTGAATTTGAATTAACTGAATGATGAGGATGAAGAAGAAGAGAGTGATTGAATTTAGAACAATAGTGTAAGAATTGCTCTTCCTCTGTCTCGTGCACACACACAAAAAAAGACACTTTTATTTGCTACTTTGCCATCATAGGCCACTCTAATTGATGGGGGCTCAGGGCGGTACCATTCTGCTCATCTGATGAAGGTGCACATGGATCAGATTCAAAATTTGAAGACCGAGATCGAGTCATTGAAGGCAGACCAGCAGAAAGAGAAACATTCTCTGAGGGCAGAGATACAGGCGACAGCTGATGCGTTGGTCCAGAGTCAGGCGGCATTGGCGGAGAGTCAGGCAGAGAATGATGCGTTGAAGAGGGCGAGGGACGAGATGGAGTCAGAATCCATGCCAGGCACACCTGTGAGCTCTGGAACTCCACCTCCGACAGGCAGAGGCAACAAACGTGGCGGGTTCGTCAGGTCGTCGGTTCACCCTGACATTTCCATTCCTCTTCTGACACCAGAACTTGACAAACTGCTCAACAGGCATAGCAAGGGCCGTCCGGACCGCTATGCTATTCCACGGATGTGTAACCGAAGAGAGATACCACGAGTGGACACAGAATACCAACTGGGATGGATCCCGAGGCAAATGTGGCTTACCAGTGAACGTCTGAGTGTTCATCATGCATACTGTGTCTCAGAAGTTTCTGTCCATGAGTGATGCAACCCGAAAAAGCATTAAAGACAGAGTTAATGAGTACTTGAGGTCACCGAGAAAGTCTGGACATGGCCTGCTCTCCCTTATGTAAGGAATTAGGCACTTTACAATGTTTACTATGTAGGCTACATGAAACATTTGCCTGTTCGATATGCAAAGTCACATAATTGAGACACACCCACCTTTCAAGATGGCGGCAAGCATGTCTTTCTTTTGTCTGATCAGTGTTTGTAGCTGAAAAGTTTTGTGGATTTTTGTCTCCATGTACCTTTGTTTCATCTGGCTGTGAACACATTGGACAATAGTACAATATTGTATACAGAGTTTTTAAGGAGACATACAAAATAGGTCTGCTGAAACATTTGAGGCCTACTTGGATATACCTGGGCACCCTACTCTGCACGGGGGCATTATCTGAGCAGACACCTGCCTACTGCTGCTTTCATCCTTCCACTTGACATTGTGCCTTGGGTGTTTTTGGACTTTTGGGTTTTTGGAAGTCGATATCTGGGTCATGGATCGTCATCTTATAGCCTATACTGTTTGAATTTTGGCCCTGTTGGAATTACTGGCATGAGATGAATGCTATGCGGTGGAGCCCTTGCTTAAACCAAAACCAATACATTTAGGAAAGGAAGTAAGGATGCATTTTGAAAGTATTCAAACAATGCTATTGAGTTTAAATGCTCTTGAGCAGCCCTGCAATCACACTACAGAGATGAGATCTTGCATCGCGTGAGACATGCAGCGTGACCCTAATCTGGGTCAATCCCCCCCCCCACCCCACCCCATTCACATAACATTATTGATCATTTTTCCATTCTAAACCCCTTTAACATTTTAAACCCCTTTTCTACCAACTGAGTTTAATACTAACTACAGTGCCTTCAGAAAGTATTTACACCCCTTGACTTTTTCTGTATTTTGTTGTGTTACAGCCTGAATTTAAAGATTTTGTGTCACTGGCCTTCACACAATACACCATAATGTCAAAGTGGAATTATGTTTTTAGACATTTTTACAAATTAATTTGTAAAAATGAAAAGCTGAAATGTCTTGAGTCAATAAGTATTCAACCACTTTGTTATGGCAAGCCTAAATAAGTTCAGGAGTAAATAAGTAATATAATAAGTTGCATGAACTCACTCTGTGTGCAATAATAGTGTTTAATATGATTGTTGAATGATTACCTCAATCTCTGTACCCCACACATACAATTATCTGTAAAGTCCCTCAGTCAAGCAGTGAATTTCAAACACAGATTCAACCACAAAGACCAGGGAGGTTTTCCAATGCACAGGCAAAATCCTAGAGGAAAACCTGGTTTAGACCGCTTTCTAACAGACACTGGGAGACAAATTCACCTTTCCAGTAGTGGAAAAAGTACCCAATAGTCATACTTGATTAAAAGTATAAATACCTTAATAGAAAGTTACTCAAGTAAAAGTGAAAGTCACCCAGTAAAATACTATTTAAGTAAAAGTCTTGGTTTTAAATATACTTAAGTATCAAAAGTAAAAGTATAAATCATTTCAAATTCCTTATATTAAGCAAAGCAGACGGCACCATTTTCTGCATTTATGTTTAGTGAGTCCGCCATACCATAGGCAGTAGGGATGACCTTGTGTTCTCTTGATAAGTGCGTGAATTTCACAATTTTCCTGTTCTGCTACGTATTCAAAATGTAACGAGTACTTTGGGTTGTCAGGGAAAATGTATGGAGTAAAAAGTACAATATTTTCTTTAGGAGTGTAGTGAAGTAAAAGTTGTCAAAAATATAAATAGTAAAGTAAAGTACAATACCCCAAAAAACTACTTAAGTAGTACTTTAAAGTATTTTTAGTTAAGTACTTTACAACACTGCACCTTTCAGCAGGACAATAACCTAAAACACAAGGCCAAATCTAAACTGTTGCTTACCAAGATGACATTGAATGTTCCTGAGTGGCATAGTTACAGTTTTGACTTAAATTGGCTTGAAAATCTATGGTAGACTTGAAAATGGCTGTCTAGCAATGATCAAGAACCAATTTGACAGAGCTTGAAGAAATTCAAAAATAATAATGTGCAAATATTGTTCAATCCAGGTGTGCAAAGCTCTTAGAGACTTACCCAGAAAGACTCACAGCTGTAATCGCTGCCAAAGGTGATTCTAGCATGTATTGACTCAGGGGTGTGAATACTTATGTAAATGAGATATTTCTGCATTTAATTTGCAATAAATTTGCAAATATGTCAAAAAACATGTTTTCACTTTGTCATTATGGGGTACTTTGTGTTGATGGGTGAGAAAAAAATATACACTACCGTTCAAAAGTTTGGGGTCACTTAGAAATGTCCTTGTTTTCGAAAGAAAAGCAATTTATTTTCACAGTGTAGACATTGTTAATGTTGTAAATGGCTATTGCAGCTGGAAACGGCTGATTTTTAATGGAATATCTACATAGGCGTACAGAGGCCCATTATCAGCAACCATCAGTCCTGTGTTCCAATGGCACGTTGTGTTTGCTAATCCAAGTTTATCATTTTAAAAGGCTAATTGATCATTACAAAACCCTTTTGCAATTATGTTAGCACAGCTGAAAATTGTTGTGCTGATTAAAGAAGCAATAAATCTGGCCTTCTTGAGACTAGTTGAGTATCTGGAGCATCAGCAATTGTGGGTTCGATTACAGGCTCAAAATGGCCAGAAACAAATAACTTTCTTCTGAAACTCGTCAGTATTCTTGTTCTGAGAAATGAAGGCTATTCCATGCGAGAAATTGCCAAGAAACTGAAGATCTCGTACAACGCTGTGTACTACTCCCTTCACAGAACAGCGCAAACTGGCTCTAACCAGAATAGAAAGAGGAGTGGGAGGCCCCGGTGCACAACTGAGCAAGAGGACAAATACATTAGAGTGTCTAGTTTGAGAAACAGACGCCTCACAGGTCCTCAACTGGCAGCTTCATTAAATAGTACACGCAAAACACCAGTCTCAACGTCAACAGTGAAGAGGCGACTCCGGGAGCTGACCTTCTAGGCAAAGTTGCAAAGAAAAAGCCATATCTCAGACTGGCCAATAAAAAGAAAAGATGGGCAGTCTGAGATATGGTTTTTTCTTTGCAACTCTGCCTAGAAGGTCAGCATCCCAGAGTCGCCTCTTCACTGTTGACGTTGAGACTGGTGTTTTGCGGGTACAATTATTTTACACATGTAAATAAATGCCCACTTTGTGGGTTAATGGTAATACTGTCTCCTGCCTCCTCTCTGAACACCTTCACCACTAGGGTGGCCTTGTAACAATAATACAACTTTATTTGTTTTCCACCTGGACAACACACACACTCACGAGGGTGGAGGCAGCACATTGGTTAATTGCCTTGCTCAAGGCCACAACGGCAACGTAACAAAATGTGGAAAAAGTCAAGAGGTCAGAATACTTTCCGAACGCACTGTATATCTGGGGAAGGGTATAAAACAATTTCTACAGTGTTGAAAGTTTCCAAGAGCACAGTGGTCTCCATCATTGGGAAATGGAAAAAATATGTAACTACCCAGACTCTGCCGAGAGCTGGTTGTCCGACCAAACTGAGCAACCAGGCAAGAAGGACCTTGGTCAGGGAGGGGACCAAGAACCCAATGACTCTGACAGAACTACAGAGGTCCTTGGCTGAAATGGGGGGAACCTGCCAGAAGGACAACAGTCTCTACAGCACTTCACCAATCTGGGCTTTATGGGAGAGTGGCCAGACGAAAGCCACTCCTGAGAAAAAGGAACAAAGTACTTAAGTAAAAACACTTTAAAGTACTACTTAAGTAGTTTTTTTGGGTATCTGTACTTTACTTTTTTTACTTTTGCCAACTTTTACTTTTACTTCACTACATTCCTAAAGAAAATAATGTACTTTTTACTCCATAGATTTTTCCTGACACCCAAAAGTACTTGTTACATTTTGACAGGAAAATGGTCCAATTCACGCATTTATGAAGAGAACATCCCTGGTCATAACTAATGCCTCTGCAAGTTTTATCTTATTTTGTTGACTTCAAATAAATTGATTGTTTTAATGAGTATGTACAGCACTTTCCACATTTTGATTGGAATATTTTCAAAATCCAATAGAAGGTACTTAGCTAACATACAGTGCATTCAGAAAGTTTTCAGACCCCTTGACTTTATCCACATTTTGTTACGTTACAGCCTTATTCTAAAATTGATTAAATTGTTTTTTCCCCTCACCAATCTACACACAATACCCCATAATCACAAAGCAAAAACAGGTTTGTAATTTGTTTTGCACATTTATGTCACGCCCTGACTTATGGAACTCTTGTATGTTGAGTCAGGGTGTGGAGGTCTATGCTATTATTTCTATGTTTACATTCTAGGTATTGTGTTTCTATGTTTGGCCGTGTGTGATTCCCAATCAGAGGCAGCTGTCGCTCGTTGTCTCTGATTGGGGATCATACTTAAGTAGCCTGTTTGCAATCATTAGTTGTGGGATCTTGTTCCGTGCATAGGCTTGTATTGTGTTTAGCCTGAGGACTTCACGTTACGTTGGTTTGTTGTTTTGTTCGTGTGTTTATTTTGATAAATAAACATGTATGCATTTCACGCTGCGCCTTGGTCTGACCCGTCCTTCAACGTCCGTGACAATTTATAACAAATAAAAAACGGAAATATCACATTTACATAAGTATTCAGACCCTTTAATCAGTACTTTGTTGATGCACCTTTGGCAGCGATTACAGCCTTGAGTCTTCTTGGACATGACGCTACAAGCTTGGCACACCTGTATTTGGGGAGTTTCTCCCATTCTTCTCTGCAGATCCTCTCAAGCTCTGTCAAGTTGGATGGGGAGCGTCGCTGCTCAGCTATTTTCAGGTCTATTCAGAGATGTTCAATCGGGTTCAAGTCCAGGCTCTGGCTGGGCCACTCAAGGACATTCAGAGACTTGTCACGAAGCCACTCCTGCGTTGTCTTGGCTGTGTGGTTACGGTCATTGTCCTGTTGGAAGGTGAACCTTCGCCCTAGTCTGAGGTCCTGAGTGCTCTGGAGCAGGTTTTCATCAAGGATCTCTCTGTACTTTGCTCCGTTCATCTTTCCCTCGATCCTGATTAGTCTCCCAGTCCCTGCCACTGAAGAGTTCAATCTTGGTTTAATCAGACCAGAGAATCTTGTTTCTCATGGTCTGAGAGTCCTTTAGGTGCCTTTTGGCAAACTCCAAGCGGGCTGTCATGTGCTTCTACTGAGGAGTGGCTTCCGTCTGGCCACAATACCATAAAGGCCTGATTGGTGGAATGCTGCAGAGATGGTTGTCCTTCTGGAAGATTCTCCCATCTCCACAGAGGAACTCTGGATCTCTGTCAGAGTGACCGTCGGGTTCTTGGTCACCTCCCTGACCAAGGCCCTTCTTCCCTGATTGCTCAGCGTGGCCAGGCGGCCAGCTCTAGGAAGAGTATTGGTGGTTCCAAACTTCTTCCATTTAAGAATGATGGAGGTCACTGTGTACTTGGGGGACCTTCAATGCTGCAGAATTGTTTTGGTACCCTTCCCCAGATCTAAGCCTCAACACAGTCCTGTCTTGGAGCTCTACGGACAATTCCTTCGACCTCATAGCTTGGTTTTTGCTCTGACATGCACTGTCAACTGTGGGACCTTATATAGACAAGTGTGTGCCTTTCCAAATCATGTCCAACCAATTGAATTTACCACAGGTGGACTCCAATCAAGTTGTAGAAACATCTCAAGGATGATCAATTTCGGAAACAGGATGCACCTGAGCTCAATTTCGAGTCTTATAGCAAAAGGGTCTGAATACGTATGTAAATAAGGTATTTCAGTTTTGTATTTTTGATACATTTGCAGAAAACCTGTTTTCGCTTTGTCATTATGGGGTATTGTGTGTAGATTAATGAGGATTCCCCCAAAAAAATCATCCATTTTAGAATAAGGCTGTAACGTAACAAAATGTGGAAAAAGGGAAGGGGTCTGAATACTTTCCAAATGCACTGTATTTAATCTGTTTTGTTTTATGTTCATAGTAACATTGTTGAGTAGTGTATGTGTGTGCGCGCATGTGCATGTAAGTCTGTTTTTCACAACAAGAGGAACCAGAGACTGACAGGAGGGAAGGTTATTCTGACCTCAACTTCCCCTTCTGAACTTGAACTTCAAACCTTGCATATAAAATGGCGTAAGCTCCTTTTCTAGACGTTTTGTACTAAAATAGACATAACCAGAGGCACAAATCTCACTCTTACAAGTCAATCAATTGCTTTTACCTAAGAAGCATAAACATAGCGCCTCCTCTTGAATCCGTTATCTTTGCTCACTAAGTTTGTGTATAGTGAACTAGGCTACACACAAAATATGTTTGGGGTGTTTGAAGACGATGCATTATCTAAACATATATCAATAAGGGGAACGTTTTCAGAACAATCTTCCTATAACCCCCTTTTAAAATCCTCTTAAAATCCCCTTAAAGTTAACCACCCCTCCCCTTCCTCCATCACTTCACCTCTCAGTGTGGGGACTTTTTCTGGTCAGGAAACCCTCGTCCCCCCTCCCTTTTACCTGACACCCCCCAACTGCTGAGAACTCTAAGTCACTCCCAAGGCTTGTTTTGCTGCGGAGCCAGCGACTGTCATTTCACCATCTTCAGCACTCTCTTTCTCTTTCTCTTCCTTTCCTTTCTCCTTCCCTCCCATCCTCTTACTCTCCTCTCTACTTTCCCTAATCTCTCACCCGTCTTCTAATTCCCTCCTCTCTTGGTGTCTCTCCCTTCTCACTCTTCTATCTTTATCCCCACTCATCCTCCCCCCTCTCTCTCCCACTAACTTCCCCACTCCTACTCTTCCCCCCCTCTATTCTCACACCCCCTCTCTTCCTCCCTCGCTCTCCTCCCCCTCGCCACACACTCGTCTCACCTCCCTCCTCTTCCTCCTCTCCTCTCCCCCCCTCCTCTCTCTCCCAACTCCTCTATCTCCTCCCCCTGTCTCTCCTCCCTCCTCTCTCTCCCACTCCTCTCTCCTCCCTCCTCTTTCCTCCTCCCCCCTCTCTCTTCTCACTCCTCTCTCACTAACTCTTGCTTTGACTCTTCTCAGTATCGCTTCATCATCTCTCGTTCTTTCCCCTCCTCTCCTTTCACTTGTCTTTTCCACTCTCACTTTTTATCTTGTGATCAACCCTCCTGCCCCCCATCTCTCTCTCTACCCTCCCAATTCCTCCCTCCCTCCCTCCCTCTCTGTCTCCTCCACCTCTCCTCTTTCTTGCTCTCACACTGATAAACCCCTCTGTGTGTGTGTGTGTGTGCGCGTGTGCTCACTCCCCTACCTGCACTTGTTTGACAACTGACTCCGAGGTCAGAGAAGAGAAAATAGGGCAAACGAAAGAACAGGAGAGAGTGGAGAGGAGAGAGAGAGAGAGCGAGAGAGAGAGCAAGAGAAAGAGAGAGAGAGAGAGAGAGAGCGAGAGAGAGAGAGAGAGAGAGAGAGAAGGAGCATGTGGGGTGAGATGACAGAAAAGGTGATAGGAATGGGGTAGAGACCAGGGTAAAATGATTTTTAAAAGGATGTTATCGGAAGAATGAGAGAAAGACAGAAGGTAGAAGGAGAGAGGATGAAGTGAGACAGATGTGAAAGATGAGGGGTGCTGTGGCAGACATGTCTTAGGGGGTGACATTCCGACCTTCAAATAACGTGTGCGTGCGTGTGTGTGTGTGCGTGCATATGTGCGTGTGTTTTACAGTTCTCAGACAGTAGGGGCTTGGGTTGAAGAGGAGAAGCAAACAACATTTCGGCCCATCTTTACAGAGATCTTGTGGAACATTTTGTAATACAACCATGGGCTGCGTCTCAATCTACCACATCAGCCTATGTCGGCCTTCTGCATCTACGCTGGAAGGTGGCTGAACTACAGGAAGGTGGCCGAGCTAGTTTGTCAGATCATGAGACATCCCAAAAATAGGTCTTCTCAGGAAAACGAACGGTTTGGCCTAAAAGCTACTATGACCACTCTATGGAAAGGGGGACTCTCACGAACACGATGGTGTTCTCTGTTTTGCTCTACAACCCACAAGTGTCACGTGACTCGTCTGAAGGTAACCCATACAAACGAATGGAGGTAGTTTTGTGCCAACAAAAATAAGGGGTTAAATGTGTCCAAAAAAACAAAAATATTTCCTGAGCTTTCTTAGATCTCCTAGCTATAGGACAGACACTTCAAAAGCTTATTCATTTTTGACTGTCTTTTTGGCCATTTATGAATGTATTATTCAATGTGTTTCTATGGGCTATAGTAGTAAAGGCCAAATTCAATTAAATCATAAAAAAATGAAGGGAACCTAAAATTCAAAATTAAATAGCTAAATGATTCATGGTATGACCATCTTAAAACAATTCCATATGTTAGCTTAGTACCCCCCCAAACAGCTTAGACTTTTAGTTAAGTGCCTTTGAATGGGGTATGGTAGTAGGTGCCAGGCACACCAGTTTGAGTGTGTCAAGAACTGCAACGCTGCTGGGTTTTTCACGCTCAACAGTTTCCCTTGTGTATCAAGAATGGTCCACCACCCAAAGGACATCCAGCCAACTTGACACAACTGTGGGAAGCATTGGAGTCAACATGGGCCAGCATCCCTGTGGAACGCTTTCTACACCTTGTAGAGTCCATGCCACGACAAATTAAGGCTGTTCTGAGGGCAAAAGGGGGTGCAACTCAATATTAGGAAGGTGTTCCTAATGTTATGTAAACTCAGTGTATATTTAAGCAATAAGGCCAGAGGGGGTGTGGTATATGGCCAATATACCACGGCTAAGGGCTGTTCATACGCACAACGCAACGCGGAGTGCCTCGAAACAGCCCTTAGCTTTGGTATATTGGCAATATACCACACCCCCTCTGGCCTTATTGCTTAAACGCCTTACTGCCATTATGAACTGTTAACCAACGTAATTAGAGCAGTACAACATTTAATCGTTTTGATGTCTTCACTATTATTCTACAATGTTGAAAATAGTAAAAAATTAAGAAAAACCCTGGAATGAGTAGGTGTGTCCAAACTTTTCACTGGTACTGTATATACTGTATATATATAGCAGGCTCTTTTATCCAAAGCGACTTACAGTGTAGGTTGAAGATAAAGGTTAAGCCAACGTAACAATTCCATGCAGAAGCGTTAGAAAATAAACAAATTAATTGGACCAGCGCCGGAATGAAAACTACTGGACTTGAATGTTAGCAGTACAGAAAGTTCACCATCAAAGTAGAAAATAAACACAATCACAGTGATTTTAGCTTATAGTCACATGCATGCATTTTCGCATGGGTGGTCCCAGCGGGAATTAAACTCACGACCCTTGGCGTTGCAAGCGCCATGCTCTACCAAGTGAGACACACAGGACCTCCAACTTCCCAATATAAAGTTGCTAGGTCAGAAAATGCCAAAATAGTCTCTTAAAAGTACCTAGTCTTCTATTAGAGGCACCCCCCAAACACACCATATTTTAGACCCCATTAAGGCATTATGTGCCTTTGTGCTGGATGCATTAACTTCAACACAAAATACAGATGAAGACGCCACTGTAATCGGTTAGCATTATGGCTAACAATAGGAAGTGTATAGCTCAGTTTGTGGGGAAACCCTTTGTTGCCACACACAGATCACTGTATCTGTGCTGTGGGGTTCAAATAATCCCTCAAGGTGTTTTGGGTTCTCCTCATCTCCCAATTAGAGATTTTACTCAATTAATTTCATAAACAGTGTTGTTAAAACATTACCCTCCCAAAAGCAGTATACTGGCTTGTGTCATCCAACTAGGTTATGTCAAATGACACGGAATATGCTGTTTATGGTCCTAAAATTACTCTTCAGGTAGTCAGAACATCAGTCAGAATATCTGATTTAAAAACAGACAGAACTAAAGTTACCAGTATTCTCTATGCATTTTTGTTGTTTAATATTCTAGGTGCCACTGTTGAGTCATGCAAAGATAGAGAACCTCTGTTTCGATACAGGTATAAACAGAAGTACTGCCTACAGTTGAAAGTGATCTTTTGTGATCCTATTCCCCATAGCAATATCCATATCAAAACTCCATGTATGTATTTCTTCAGCAAGAGATCCAGCAATATAAGCTGTATTTCTTGTCCTATGAATACTGATCCCTCAAGCTTGTGTGTGTGTGTGTTTCGACTTCCATGTCCATTGATTCAGTATACAAATTGGTCACGTATCCTCACACATTTCTGAATGAAGGCCTCTGTGTGTTTTGACTTCAGTGATTAGTAGGTTAATAGGGCAGTAGCCTACCCCATTTACAGGCAGGAGTGCCAGAACTGGCTAGGAATAGTGTCACTGCAGTGGCAGCACTTTCTTTTACATTATTGTTTCAACTGTGATTTTTTTGGAAATTATTTTGAAATGGGTGAGGGTGGACATTCCATTTTCCAAACAATGAACCATACATCCCACCCAAATGGGTCCCTCAATAATTGAACCCTTGCAACGAAGAACCATATACAGTGCATTCGGAAAGTGTTCAGACCCCTTCCCTTTTTCCACATTTTGTTACGTTACAGCCTTTTTCTAAAATTGATTAAAAACATGTTTTTCTCATCTATCTACACACAATACCCCATAATGACGACGCGAAAACAGGTTTTTAGACATTTTTGCTAATTTGTTACAAATAAAAAACAGAAATACCTTATTTACATAAGTATTCAGACCTTTTGCTATGAGACTCGAACTTGAGCTCAGGTGCATCCTGTTTCCATTGATCATCCTTGAGATGTTTCTACAACTTGATTGGAGTCCACCTGTGGTAAATTCAATTGATTGGACATGATTTGGAAAGACACACACCTGTCTATATAAGGTCCAACAGTTGACAGTGCATGTCAGAGCAAAAACCAAGCCATGAGGTCGAAGGAGCTGTAGAGCTCCAAGACATGATTGTGTCGAGGCACAGATCTGGGGAAGGTACCAAAACATTTCTGCAGCATTGAAGGTCCCCAAGAACACAGTTCGTTTGGAACCACCAAGAATCTTCCTAGAGCTGGCCGCCCGGCCAAACTGAACAATCTGGGGAGAAGGGCCTTGGTCAGGGAGGTGACCAAGAACCAGATGGTCACTCTGACAGAGCTCCAGAGTTCCTCTGTGGAGATGGGAGAACCTTCCAGAAGGACAACCATCTCTGCAGCACTCTTGGAGTTTGCCAAAAGGCACCTAAAGACTCTCAGACCATGAGAAACAAGATGCTCTGGTCTGATGAAACCAAGATTGAACTCTTTGGCCTGAATGCCAAGTGTCACGTCTGGAAGAAACCTGGCACCATCCCTACGGTGAAGCATGGTGGTGGCAGCATCATGCTGTGGGGATGTTTTTCAGCGGCAGGGACTGGGAGACTAGTCAGGATCGAGGCAAAGATGAACGGAGCAAAGTACAGAGAGGTCCTTGATGAAAACCTGCTCCAGAGCCCTCAGGACCTCAGACTAGGGCGAAGGTTCACCTTCCAACAGGACAACGACCCTAAGCACACAGCCAAGACAACGCAGGAGTGGCTTCGGGACAAGTTTCTGAATGTCCTTGAGTGGCCTAGCCAGAGCACGGACTTGCTATCATCTCAAGCAAAAGTGTGTCAGATTAGACAATATCTATATCATAGTCTATCAAGAGTGTGCATAAATAATTCAGGAATCCATTTATTTATTTGTAGACTATACAAAGCCCTAAATGTTTTAATCACATTGCATTTAAATTTGTAATGACATCACAACCAAAACATGATAAAGCATTCCTTGTGATGAGAACACTAAATGCAATGCAGTCCTTTCATGTAATGTCTTAAGTCATTGCCTTCATAAGAATTTGTTAGATTATCAGATTAATTTTTGCTGTTTATTGGGTTGTCACCGTAAATCTTGATATTTATGAGCGCCACAGCAGAGAAACAAATACCATTTTTATTGAGCTTCCATGACATCACTTGCAATGTGAAATGGCGGATTGAGCAGTAAAATCTGAACCAAGGAGTGAAAGGGAAGCGTAAAGTCCGGAAAGGATCAATATCCAGAATTGGATCAGGAGTCGAGCTCTACACTAGGCTTAGCTTTCCCCAGACCAATTATTTCCTGTGTAATCCACTGTTTATGAATATAAATGTGATAAATTAAAGTAGCATTATGCCTACTCAGTTTGACCATTAGATCCAAAATGAAAACCAACCAATTCTAGGTCTAGGCCAGGGTTCTTCAATTCCGGTCCTGGAGGGCCGAAACATCTCTGTTTTTCATCCTCTCCTTCTAATCAGGGGCTAATTCAGACCTGGGACACCAGGTGAGTGCAATTAACTACCGGGTAGAAATAAAAAACAGAAGTGTTTCGGCCCTCCAGGACCGGAATTGAAGAACCCTGGTCTAGGCTATTTGGTCTAGGCCACATGTCAAACTCATTCCACGGAGGGCTAGGTACCTGCAGGTTTTCACTTCTACTTGATTGATGAATTAAGGTCACTGATTAGTAAGGAACTCCCCTCACCTGGTTGTCTAGGTCTTAATTGAAAGGAAAAAACAAAAACCCGCCGACCCTTGGGCCTCCATGGAATGAGTTTGACACCCCTGGTCTAGGCCCCTCAAGCTCAACTCTGGACCACGAAGCCAGTTCCACAGCTTTCCCCCCCCCCATTGTTCCCCTCTAATCAGGGACCGATTTAGACCTGGAACACCAGGTGGATCCAATTAAATATCAGGTATAACAGAAAACCAGCAGGCTCCGTACCTCGTAGGGCAGGGGTGTCACTTTTATTTCATGGAAGGCCTGGTTTTAGTTTTTTCCTTTAAATTATGCCCTAGACAACCAGGTGTGAGGAGTTCCTTACTAATTAGTGACCTTAACTCATCAATCAAGTACAAGGAAGGAGCGAAAATCCGCAGACACTCGGTCCTCCATGGAATGAGTCATTTGTGAAAAACAAGGAATGGAAGCAATTATTGCAATGAGCTTATTATTCACCGTAATGTGAAGTGGGAAAAACACCATTTTTTCTTAGTTTTGCCAAGACAAATATGACATTGAGTCTGGAATTGATAACTAAGAAAACACGATAAGCAGCATTCTACTGAAATGTGTGTGTTTATATGATTGGTGTTCCCCCAAACCTCAAAACACACACTCTTACATAATACAGTGTAACATGCTTCTGAAAATAACACAGATAGAATACAGGAAAAAGTCACTCCCTGTCAAATTTGGGCAAAACTTATCTCTCTCCTCTCACCCGTCCCAATACCATACATGGGCTTGGTTGAGGAGAAGACTCCAAATGGAGAGAGATGGGTTCAGGACCTGGGAAAGCGTGCAATAGGGAAGAGTGGATGAAGAGGAGGGATGGATGTGCTGTGTCCTGAACACACACACTCACTAGTGTACAACAGTGGAGGCTGCTGAGGGGAGGACAGCTCATAATAATGGTCTGGAAAGGAGCTAATGGAATGGCATCAATGTGTTTTATGTATTTGATAACATTCCACCTATTCTGCTCCAGCCATTACCATGAGCGTGTTCTCCCCAATTAAAGTGCCACCAACCTCCTGTTGTGGAGAAACTTGCCACTGGCAGTTCTGCAAGATCAACCTTCCTATCCTTATCCTAACTGTAACCTTCACTTTATGGGCCAAACCAAGGCTGCTTGGGTTATCATTGGACACTTCTAGCTACACAACTTGTAGAGAAGATGAATATTTGATCGAGCATCAGGGTGGAAATTTGAAGAATGAGGAACTGTTGTTCATCTAGTGCAACGTTTTTCTATCTGGTGCAACTGTTTCAGAAAAATGAATGGTTAGGAGTGCATTCTTTCAAAGAGGATGGGTCTATGTCTCTCTCGGTTTTCTGGTCAATAGAAGGACAATTATGAGCTCACATGCTTACTTAGGGCATCTGTGGTTCTGTCACCGAATTGGGAAGGTTAGGGATACAGACCTTTCCGTTCAAAATCACTGCATTTTAACAGACACAGGTTAAAAAATATCGAGTGTCATGTGTTGTTGATAACAAGCACTTGTGTTATGCATTTTATCTTGCGTTGACCTTAGCTCTATTGTTAAAGATTTTTTCCAGATCCACAAAGTGAATTGCACCCTACTCAGAGATATAGACATAGCCGTTATATTGGTGACAGAAGTATATAACCACTGATGTCAGAGGTGGGACTTTTTTTTCTTGCTACGAGTGTACTACATCAACACACAGCCTGGGCTCAGGAGGCAGGTTGTGGTGGAGGGGGGTAACTCCAGACCCACTTCCTGAATCACAAAAACTGAGGGGTAGTGCTAGACAAACAGTATGAGCTTGCCTGTCGAGAAAATGTCAAAAGAAGCACAGTTTCTTACTCATTTTATAAATCTGAAAAAAACATTTCACAAACAACAGTTGTAGGCAACACTAAGCTTATACAATTTGCAGGTCGCTAGCTATACCCCCAACTCCTGCTTGTATGTATGTTTGTTTATCCATATGTGTTCTTACATGGCTTTCAGAGGGTGAATGGGCAAGACAAAGGATTTAAGTGTCTTTGAACGGGGTATGGTAGTAGGTGCCGGGCGCACCGGTTTGAGTGTGTCAAGAACTGCAACGCTGCTGGGTTTTTCACGCTCAAAAGTTTCCTGTGTGTATCAAGAATGGTCCACCACCAAAAAGGACATTCAGTCCATGACCTGACGAGTTGAGGCTGTTCTGAGGTCAAAAGGAGGTGCAACTCAATATTAGGAAGGTGTTCCTAATGTTTTGTACACTCAGTACATGTATTATGTTTATATATTAAATATTGTCTACTCCAAAAAATTGACATTGCAGTATTCAGACGTAGCCTCTAAACGTCAACGGATAAGGTGAACCGTCT